AGGAGCGAACAGTGCAGTTATCTGGGAGAAGTGACCAATATGAAAGAAACAATTTCAGGAGACAATGATGAAAGGAGCCTTCCAAGGCCCATGAAACCTGCAGGGCAAGGGCTGGCACACAGCAGACCAGTGAGAGAGAGTAAAATTCTCAATCCATAGAGATGGAACACAGAGAGGCTTGAAGGGCTGTTCCACATTTGGGAGTTAAAACAGATCTTCTGCCTCCTAGTCCAATACTTCCTGACCCCTATTCAGGAGTGGAGACTCCTCAGGGGCAAGAGGTGACTTGAAGTCCCTGGACCACTCTCTCAGGGCCTCACAGGATAAGATTCCCACATAATCACCACTATGTGACCAAAAGAGGGAGCGCTCAATTACCTTCCTCCAGACCTCGGCCCCGAGACCTGGGCTTGCTGCCCACCATTCCAGTGCCTGTGTGCACCTCAGGAGTCTCAAATGTGGCTGGAGTCACATCTGGGGAAAGAGAGAGATGTAGGGTTTAGAGCAAGCCTATAGCAAAGTTCAGTAGATTTCACCCTCTCTGCCACCCACTAGGTCCCCTTACAAGGTGGTGGAGGCTCTCGAGACATCTTGCCCAGGGCAGAGCCAAACTTGATTGCAATCTGGCGCATTCGTTCCAAATCTCCATTTTCCTCAGCCTCCAGGTACTCCTTCTGTGCCTGCAGTTTCTCCACATCAGGAAAGAAATCCCTTTGGATGACTGTCTGAAGGCCCTTTTGGACATAAAAACAAAAGTCAGAGCTGCAATCTGGGTGCTCCACCTCACAGTTCACTGCTATACAAGCTAAAGCCCTTGATGAACCTCCTTCAGCTTCTGCCTGCTCTAATAATTGCAGCTTGCTTGAAGGAGCTCAGGGGCCCTTTGTAGTGAGGTTGAACATCCCATGTGGCCTTGCTGCAACATCCAACATTTACTAAGTATGCTCTCCATGTCCATAAAACTCTTCTCTCTCCCACTCTTAACGGGCGTTCCTTTACTGACTCCACTTTCATACCAATCAGACCACCTTCACTGTACCAAGGAGTTTCTATTTCCAATCCAAACCTTTCTCGAGTGACTTCAGCCAGTCACTATGGTCACATAGTGAAATCCCCAAATCTGCACCTCCAGCTAGACCTAGCTCTGGAAGCAGCAAATCTGTGTAACCAGCTGTCCATTAATACTGCCAGTCAGTACATCCTAGAAAAGTCCCAAATTTAACCAGTCTAAAACTAAACTTTATACTAGTCCTTCCTCCTGCGTATTTGAAGTAGAACAAACCCCTCCTTCTAGGGGCTGCAGCCCACTCACTCAATGTTGTTGCCACAATTGCAGACTAAGTCAAGTCCTCTTTGCCACCATCCTTCAAGTGTGTCAAACTCTTACACTTTAATAGAAAAACTCATGTCCCCGACCCTCGCCACAGCCGCCTCTACTTTCCCCTGAAAATATTGCTAGTGCCTCCTCAGTTAAGGACATCTCCCTCCCCACCATTTACTTGGCTTTCGGGACTGTCCACACCTCAAGAGCAGGGACTCGGCTATTCCACTTCCACTAGTGGACTGGAGAGCCAAGACTGGAGAGAAAGAAACCGAGAGAAGCGCAAAACCAGGGAGGGACCCGGAAATCGCCGGCGTTTCACTGAGGTGACTACCTCTATATACTCTTCCTCGTCCAGGACCCGCTGCTTGCTCCTCACAGCTTCGGTCTCCCCAGCCGATCGCTTCCTCTGGGGCCCCGACGCGGCCGGGAGCAATAAGGTCCGGGTAGATACTCCCGGCGTCTCCATCACTATCCCAGAACCGCTCGGGCGACGGTGGCGCGTCACAGGGTATGGGGCGACCGGAGCACCTTTTCTGCCAGCGCCTCCCAACAGTCAGCCAATAGGGAAACAGTGCTTTTTTAGCATCCGTCGGCGCTCCGTAGTGACGTCATTACTAACGCTGGCTCTCATAGGAGTTGTAGTCTTTTTTCCCGCCCCGCATCATTCATGCCTGACTGATCTGTGGACACGAGGGGGCGCTGTGGTGGGGACTGTTTGATTTGTTCATGCTAACGTGAGAAATTTCAGCTTGGGGGAAATCAAAAGGCTCTGGATTTGTCACCAATAATCACTGTATATGTTTCAGTGTGTTAACAAAAACACATTCATCAGAAAACTTGATTATATACACATTCCAAACTTTATGCAAAAAACCCCAAGATAATTCTTTCTTGGCAGTTATCTAACAAAAGATTAATGAAAACAAAGAATAAGAAAGTTGTTCAATAAAGAAATGTCTGGTTACAGGAGGTCCCTAAATACCAGAGTGGTCTTCCAGAAGAAAGCCAATTCTCACTGAAATGGAACAGAAAGTTACCTAAGCATTTTTCAGGAATTCCTTCCGAAAGGGAGGTTTTTTTTGTGAATTATGTCAAGTGAACAAGTTCTGCCCCAAGAATGATTTAGTTGAATTTTGCTTTTTCAATATGTGGTCATCCATTCATTCATATGGACTCATTGAGGACTTCATGGTGATGTTCCTGCTTTTAAAGCTAACAGTCCAATGGGGAGGAGAGAAACTATTTAGGTCATTCTACAAACAAGTCTAAAATAGAAGCTATGGCAATGCAAGAAAATTTTTTTATTTGGGGAATCTTGACCTAATGAGGCAAGTCAAGGAAATTTCTCCAGGCAGAAAGTTATTGCAGATCCAAAAGATGAATGGACAGGCATTGTTGAACCAATGAAACAGGAAGAGCATATACAAAGCCCCAGTGGTGGAAGGGAGCAAGGCAAATCCCAAAGCAGACCTTTGCCATACACAGACAGAGTTCAGTGAGGTGTGAGATGACACTGGAGTGGCAGAGCCAGCCTTCACAGAGCTTCATGAGTTCTAGTGAGTTTTACCTTTATTCTGAATTAAGGGGGAGCCAAAGTAGGTACAGATAGACGAAGTTGGAGATTGCAGCAATGGTGAAGGTGAGAAGTGACAGTAATTTGCATCAGATTGGTGCAGTTGGAACTGAAAAGAAGGTAGATTCTGAGATATATCTATGTATTTATTTGGAAGTAAAATCGACTGGCTGTTGGACTGGGTATGGTGGGTGAGGGACAAAGAGCAGTTGGACAATTATTACCTCTCTGGCTTATGCAGCTGGTTTGCTTACTATAGACAATGTGACCTTGATGAGCCTGTGGGCTTCCTGATGGAGTAGTTAGGGGGGAAATTTGATATAAATATCTAGCTCAGGGAAGAGGCCTGGGTTAGCAATGTGAATGTGGCAGAGAGATGGGAATTGAAAACTGAGGGTGGAAAAGGAAACCAATAAAAGAAGAGGGGAGCACTTGGGACTAAATTTCAAGAATGCTTATATCAGTGGTCAACTTGAAGGGGTTCAGCTTGCCAAGGAGCAATTAGATAGGGAGGAAACAGCTCAGGAGAGCAGCAGCATATGGAAGGTGGAGTTCAGGCAAGCTCGGGTTGTGATTGCCGTACACAATGATAAATGGCTGTTCAGCCAAGGAGGAAAAGAGACACATCACCCAGCAACATGGTGGTGCCCCAGGCTGCAGGGGAGCTGACCAGGACACAGTCTTGTTCACCTTGAAATCTTCAAGAGCAAGGCCAGGATTCAGGCAGAAGTTTTGTGACAGCCCAGTGTGTGGTGAGAATGCCTGTCTTGGAGGTACCCAGCAGTGCAGGGGCAATTCTGGCTGGGAGACATGGTACCTTCTTGGTGTTATCTGAACCGGTCATCCCTAGAGAGCCCCAGGAGCTTCAGCCCTAGCTTCCATTGTCTGGCTTTTATGAATGAACAGTGTCTCTTGTAGATATCACTCCCCACAATCTCCAGGACCCATAAGAAGAGAAAACAAAGTGCTCAAGCCAGATGAGGTGTTAGGTGCCTCTGGCACACTGCATGAGTCCACTTGGAGAAATGGAAGTCTTGTTTTACACTTTCCTTCATCCTGGGGCCAAAATAGTAGAGGAGAAAGCAGATATTTCCCAAGGCCATGTGTGTGGTATCACCTCAATCCAACCTTGTCTTGCCCTACCCTAGATGGCAGAGGTTGACCATTGTAAGGGAGGTAAACTCTGCTGCATAGAAATCCCCAGAGGGAGGAAGCCAAGGACCCTTGTCCATGAAGCACTTAAAGGACAAAGCAGGCCCACAGAGAGTCTAGCCACCTTCCATGAGCCAGTCTGCTCTGTTGTGGGCACCTGGAATAGGGACTGCAGATCTACCGGGCTGAGTTCCCAAAAAAGACTTTAATTCCCCATTCCCTGGAAAGAGATAGTAGAGGCAGCTCTCTCCTGGATGTAGAAATGGAGCTAGGGCAGATCTGGGACTCTGAACTGCTTCTGTGGTATTTGTAGTTTTTATTTATTTCTTGATATCACTATAAGGAGCAGGTGAGAAAGCTTCTGAAAATTACCTCATCCAACCTTCTTATTCTGCAGGTCCAGACACCAAGGCCCAGCATAGGACATGCAAAGTGGCAGCAAGCCCAGGACTGTGCAGACACCACCATCCAGCCCCAGGAGAGTGGAAGACCAGGTCTGTGGGGCCCATATCCCCATGAGGAGAGGAGGGAATCCAGCCCGCCCAGGGGTAGGGAGGGAAACTCCTCTGGGGAGGATTCTAGATGCAGGTGTTGACAAGTGGTATTTCCTATTCTGGGGTGAAATCAATGCCTTTCTGTGTGGTGAGTGGGAGTTGAGGAAGCTGTTGCTCTTTTGCCCCACTCCACCCGAAGGGAACCTTCCTGGTTCCTACCTTATTGCCACTGGGGAAGACAGGACACTCAGGTGCTTGCTGTCCAATCCTTCTATGGGGCAGTTAACACCAGACACACATATACTGGCACCCCAGCATTAGCTCCAGACTGTACGAAGCTGTGCAGACTGATGGAAGAGGCTGCAATGTTCTCCTAGCTCCTGTTCAGGTAGGTCTCTCCTCTCTCTTTGTGAACCCCAAAGATCATGGTCAAGATCAAGAGTAGCTCCCAGATCCATCAGCATCTCTCCTTAGGAGGTTTCTTGGTCGCGGGCAGGAGCCTCGCTGACACTGATGCTGATGCGCGCTTTTGGTGTCGCCACTTGGCCCTGCGGTTCTTGAACCAGACCTGAGGAGGAAGAGGAGAAGGAACTGATGGGACTCCCAGGATCCGCGTGCCCCCCACCCCCACCCCGCGCCACTCTCAAGGGCCAGACCTGGGTAGGGGCTTAACCACAGGGATGTGGGTGGACTAGGCCTGCGGAGCCAGCACCTTAGTGGCGGTACACCACATTCCCTTATCTGCTGCAGATAGGGACGAATGGCTCATGATGCAGGATGGAAACCCTTTTCCCACCCTTTCCCGCCCCAGCCTCTGCCCAGCGGCGACCAGGACGCCCCTTATACAGCTTGTGAATTTCTGAACTTCCCAAAATCTGGAACATGAACGAATGCCTCATTTATCACAGGAAAAAAAAAAAAATCGGGGAGGGGAGAGAGAAAAGTTTTAAATAATTGCAAAGAAAACCAGTCTTGCCTCCCCCCTCCAGTTCCAGCTACATCTTCCCGCACATGCATGCCCCCGCCTACTACCCGCCCCGGGACCGGCCCTCTGCCCCATTCGCTGTATGGAGGGCTCCTTCCTCTTCTGCGCTGGGTCGCACTATGCCAGGCGGTGCTCGGGACGACGCAGTCTTTGAAAAAGAATGAAAGCCGGAGGCGCGGACTCTCTTGCCGTGGACCCTTTAGCCGTCCAGCAGCAGCCCGCGTGCAGTCAGCTTACCGGAGTGGCTTTGCCCCGCACCCACCTCCACGCGCTCCTCGCGCAGGTGGATGCGGCCAGCCAGGCGCTCGCGCGTGCCAACGTCGGGGTACTGATTCTGCACAAAGAGCGCCTCGAGCGCCTGCAGCTGCTCCTCGCTGAAGATGGTGCGGTGGCGCCTAGTGCGTCGCTGTGGGACTGGGCCTCCAGCACCAGGGAGAGTCGCAGAGCCTCCAGCCGCCGCGGCTAAGGGCAAGGGCGCCGCGGGCCCCAGCCTCAGTGGCCACGGTAGCCGCGCGCCTGCAAGGCGAGGGCGCTGTGAAACACAGGGCAGGAGCCAAGCTCCCCACCCACTACTCCGCGCCCAGAGGTCCCGCGTCCCGCCCTCACACCCTGCGTCCACTCACCCAGCCCCGCAGCCGCCTCCGGAGTCCTGCGGGATGCTGCGCGGGGTCCACAGCAGCAACAACAGGCGCAGGACACAATCTCAGGCGCCCCGGGTTCCCCGGGCTCCGTGGGGCTCTGTTGGCCGCTGGGCTGCGGTGGTCGAGCAGCCCGGGTTGGGGGACTCCGTTCCGGCAGGCTGGAAAGGATGTGCTCGATAGAGAAGGGGCAGGGCCGCCCAGGGCCCCTGCGGCTCGCGGCACCCCCAGCTACCGCCATGCCTGGCCCGGCCTGCCGGCCTGCCTGGCCAAAATATATACGTCGGGGGGGAGCGCGCGGTAATCCCCAAGCCGGGCGCCAAGTCCATGCGGGCTAATCCCGCCGCTCGGGTTCAGAGCACGCTAATCCTCGATTGCGGCGGTGGCGGGAAAGCCTGCTCCGCCTTGGCGTGCGGGGGCTGGCGGCGGCAAGGAGGGAGCATTGTGCCCCAGCAGCGCCCTCCTGTCCACCTAGGGCCGTCAGCGCAAGCGGAAGGATTGGAGAGCTGTCTCCCCGCCGCCCACGGGGCCTGGCGGTCTCCTTTTGCGGTGAGGTACTCAACCCCAGGACTCCCCGAGATAGCAGCCTCCAGAGCACCGCAGTGCCTCCTCCCGCCACGGCCTTACCAATGGCTGCACTTCTTCGAGACTAGGTTGGCTCCCAGTCCCCTTCAAGGCATTTTTATGGCAGGTGAGCACGCCTGGAGAAACCTACCCAAGCCGCTCAAACTCCTGGTCTTCAAATTTCTAGTATCTATCTTCGGATGGGCTCTCAAACCTTGGGCAGTCTCATCGCGAACCCACCTCACATTTACCCCAAACCTCTCACCTACTTTGGACCCCGGGTCTCAGCCTCATGGAGAAATTCCCATAAACCGTCTGTCCGGTGGACCCCAATTCTCTTGCCTTCGCTCTTGGGTCAGGGAAATCTTCCCAACCTATGTGAAGTCTCTCCTTCCGCTTTCCCACCTGTCCCAGAAGTCCCCTTCCCCTCCCCCAGCAAGACATCCCCCTGCCCCTCACTCCCCAGTAGATCAATGACCTCCTCACAGCCACTACGCTTAAGATCTGTCTCAGGTGGGCTCTCCACCTCCTCACTCTTTTGCTTAGGCCATTCCTGCTCTGTTCACACCATTCCCTGTTCATCTGGCCCATCAGTGCTGGTAACCTACACTTGGTCGGATAAGGAGTATCGGACAGCTGAGCCAGGCACTTCAGCCTAAAACTCTCCTTTTCACCTCCAAAGGAAATATATTGTGTAGCTCACAGGAAGAGCAACAAATTGCCTGACTTGAACTCAATAGTCAACTCCTAGCTGCACAAAAAATCTTCCATAGGTTCCTTCATTCCTCTGTGTTTGGGTTTCCTAATCTATAAACTGGCATGATAATAGTGACTATCAGCCAAGTTGGGTGGCACACACCTATAATCCCAATGACTAGGGAGACTGAGACAGGAGGATGGTAAATTCAAAAACAGACTTAGCAATTTAGACTGTGTCTCAAATTTTTAAACAGTGTTAGCTTAGTGGTAGAGTGCCCTAGGTTCAATCCCCAGTACTTCAGATAATGAAAATAATAATAACAACAAGTATCAGGAGTCATTTTTAGGATTCAATCAGTTAGGAGGTGTGAGATGTTTAGAAACCCATTAAGATCATGGGGGCCCTGGTGGGGGGGCATAGATGTTAGCTGCCATTGCAGGGCAGCACACATCCACACCTCTCTCCTCCTACCTTGCCAGCCCATTTTTAGGCTTTTTTGTCATCTTCATTCTGGGACCAATAAGAATGCTTTGGACTTCAAGTTATAGAACTTGCTGGCTCAATTCTCTCACAAGAGTTCATTATAGGGTGCCCAGAGTTTGTTAATCTGAGATAAAGCCGCCACCTCTGTGAGTGACCTGGCCTCCCAGCTTGCCTCATTGTTGAAAAATGACTGCCACAGCTGTATGGACCCTCCATCTTTTCCCAAATGTGTCCATTTGGATGATCATAGAAACCTCTCCCTGCTTTTCCTCCCTCACAATACTACATTGCACACCTGCACCTAAGCCAACTATAGTGCCCAGAAATAGTTCCCAATTACATCAAGGAGGTGTACAGGAACCGACTACTCACCAAAGTAAGAGTTTCTCTAGAATAAGGAAAATAGGGTCCATAGTCAGGAAGACCACTGCAACATCTGCTGTGTCATCCTCTTCCTAGCTCTGGCTGTTTCTTTATTGCTCCCCATTCTTACCCTTGATGACTTCCTCCAGCCTTGGAGCTACAGGAACCATCCATGACACTGACTCATAACAACTTGTGAGTCACTTCAAGCCTGACTTATTACTCTGTTCCAGGCTAGTATTTCTCAAAGCCTGCTCCACATCTCCATCTCCATCACCAATAGACATTCCCCAGTCATCATGCCAGGAATGAGCTCCATATTTTCTGAAAATCTGATCTTTGCCTGATATTCCCCACCTTAATAAATGGGCTACCTTCCTATCTATCTCTCCACCTCTACAGGTACCCCTTGGTAAATGACCCACTGTGGTTCTTTTAGAACATATCAACAGCCAGGTGTGGTGGTACACACCTGTAATTCCAGTGGCTCAGAGGTTGAGGCAGGAGAATCACAAGTTCAAAGCCAGCCTCAGCAATTTAGTGGGGCCCTAAGCAACTTTTGAGACCCTATCTCAAAATAAAAAATTAAAGAAGGGCTACGGATGTTTCTTGGTGGTTAAGTGCCCCTGGATAGCAAAAAAAAAAAAAAAAAAAACAAACAAACAAACATATCAACAGAGGTAGAATCTTTACTTGATCTACTTTGGACCCCAGCAGCATATATCCAGCTACTCAGGAGGTTGAAGCAGGAGGATAGCTTGAGCCCAGAAGTTCAAGACCAGCTTGGGCAACACCGTGAGGCTCCATTAAAAAAAAAAAAAAAAGCCGGAGCTGGGCATGGTGGTGCATACCTATAATCCCAGCGGCTCAGGAGGCTGAGGCAGGAGGATTGAAAGTTCAAAGCCTGCCTCAGCAAAAAGCGAGGCTCTAAGCAACTCAGTGAGACCCTGTCTCTATATAAAATACAAAAATAGGGCTGGGATGTGGCTCAGTGTTTGAGTGCCCCTGAGTTCAATCCCTGGTACCAAAATGGGGCAGGGGGCAAGAAAAGCCAGGGAACAGTGGTGCATACCTGCAATTCCAGTGGCTCAGAAGGCTGAAGCAGGAGAATCACAAAGTCCAGGCCAGCCTAGGCAATTTAGACCCTGCCTCAAAATAAAAAAATAAAAAGAGCTGGGGATTTAACTCAGTGGTATAGCACTCCTGGCTTCAATCCTCGGTAACACAAACCAAAACAAAACAAACAAAAGAGGAAAAATGGGCTGAACTCACTTCTAGCCAAATAAAATGCACCCGAAATGGCATTGTATGGTTTTTGAAGCCAGGGTTTCTGTTTTCTTTCTCTTCTCTTTTCCTCTCCTCTCCTCTCCCCCTCCCCTCCCCTTCCCTCCCCTTTCTTCTCTCTGATATTGGAATGCTTGCTATAAGGAAGTATAAAAAGACAACAGGCATAAGTGTTTTAGCCAGCAGCTCCAGCTGAAATACCAACCTGTGACCAGCATTTTTCACCAACAAGTGAGTGAGGAAGTCTTGATGATGATTTGGTTTCCAGCCACCATCAGACTGCTATTACATGACATGCCAGAAGTGAGAATCACCTGAGTTCAGCAAGCTCTAGAACTATTAGAGGGAACAGTAGTAGATGTTCATGAATGTTTTTACTGTACTCATTTGGAGGTGGTCTGTTAGGTAGCCATAGAGAACCAGAAAAGGTATTGGTACTAGAAGTAGGGTGTTAGAGTTTAGATTTGAGGTGTCCTCCCACAAGTTCCTGTTAATGCAGGAATACTCAGAGGTAAAATTATTGAATTGTGAGAGCTATAACCTAATCATTCTATCCTAGTTTGAATAGACTGACTGGGTGGTAACTGTAGGCAGGTAGGGCATGGCTGGAGAACGTGGGTCACTGAGGGTATTTTATGGAAGGGTTTATCTTTCTTGCAGCCCCTTTGCTCCTCCTGTCTCCTGCTTCCTGACATCACCATGAGCTCAGGGGCTTTCCTCTGATGGCCTCTTTCCTCATGATGAGCTGCTCATCTTGGGCCTGCAGCAATGGAGTTAACCACCTCTGGACTGAAACCTCTGAAACTGTGAGCCTCAAATAAACTTTTCCTCCACTAAGTTGTTCTTGTCAGGTATTTTTGTCATAGCAATACAAAAGCTAACTAAAACACAGGGCACTGCCAATATAAAACTAAAACATGTGGATTTGATTTGGCTTTGGGATGGGGCAGTAGGAGATGGAAGACCTTGCCATGAAAGACAATGGAGTCCCTAAAGTGAGAAAAATATTATTTCACAATAGAGGAAAGGAGACAGCTGATGCGTCCTGGCAAGGAGGCTTAGCAACATTGTCATTTACAGTAGAATAGAAAATAGAAATGAGTATGATGACCTAGCTAGGTAGATGCCCAGAGAGAAGGTGAAAGGTGCTACCTGGCTTCTTTTAGCTACCTATAATAAAAGAAGAGGAGCCAGTTGTGGAAGCAACCCAATCCCAGCTATTCTGGAGACTGAGGCAGGAGGATCACTTGATCCCAAGAGTTCAAGAGTAGCCTGGGCAGCATAGTGAGACCCTGACTGAGAGAGAGAGAGAGAGAGACTGAGCTAAAGAATGGGGCTGTGGTTGTAACTAAATAGTAGAGTGTTTTCCTAGCATGTGTGAGGCACTGGGTTTGATCCTCAGCACTACATAAAAAAAAATAATTAAGGTATTATGTTCATTACAACTAATTTTTTTAATTTTTTAAAAAGAATGTACTGTTAAATATGAAGAATTCAGCTTATACAATTAAACATACATTTACCATAGGAACCAGCAGGTCCATTCGTGGGTATTTGCCCTAGAGAGATGAAAGTTTCTGCTCACATGAAATGCTGTCTTATGAATGTTTAGAGTAGCTCTATTCATTATGACCAATGATTGGAAATCACCCAATGTCCATCTCTTGGCAAGTGAATAAGCACACTGTGGTAATGCACTCCAAGAATTACTACTCATCAATATATAGGAAGGGATTCTTGGGGAGCTGAAAGCAACAGGAATACACAAAATATGGATGAATGTCAAAGATATCACACTGAACAAAAGAAACCAGTCATCAAAGATTACACATTCTATGTGATTTAAT